ACACACACACACACACACACACACACACACACAAAAGATTAAAATCTCTTTATAGCTGCAAAATTAGTAGCATGGTGCTATCACCTGAGGGACAACCACAATCAAGAAACAAACAACCAATAGACTCACTCTCACAGACCAAAAAATACTGTTACACAATGTGTAATACACATGTACATAATGCTCCTATTCTAAGTCCAGTAGTTGCTACATGACTTCTGTACTATCATGTTTTTTTACCCTATACGTATCTGTGTGTATATATATGACATTTCCATATATTACATATTAGTTATAAATAATGTTCAGATGTTCTAGTGTAAATGCCCAGATGTTCCAAACCATTTTCTTTGTTGTCTTAATGCTTTGGCAATACAAAATGTATTTTTGTCATGCCAATGAAGCTATTTTAATTGAATTGAATTTAAATTAAGAGAGAGAGAGAGAGAGAGAGAGAGAGAGAGAGCAAAAGCCCCAAAAGCTTTATTAAAAAGCTTTATTCCCCAAATATTAAATAAATTGACAAAAATCTAAAAGACACTCATGATGAATCACTAAAAATACACTTTGAAAATAAACTCCAATGCTACTCAACCCTAAACAGAACCACTAAATTCACCAATTATTTATTAATTAAACCATTTAAAGAAAGACAAATCCTCTCCAAATACAGATTAAGTAACCATGATTTAGAATTAGAGAGAGGAAGACATAGACACACATGAACAGAGCAAGAGCAGAGGATCTGTAGACACTGTGATCCACAGCAAATAGAGAACGAGAAACCCTTTCTGCTGATTTGTTCTAAATATCACAACGTGAGGGAAACATTTCTCCCCAGATCTGAAGCACTGATTCCATCATTTACTGAACTTAGTGATACTGAGAAAATGCCCTTCATACTTGGAGAAGATGACAACACAGCTGCACTAGCTGCAAAATTTGTGTTAGCCATTCACAATCAGTGACGGCGCTACACCGGGGCTAGGGGGGGCTATAGCCCCGTCAGAATTTTGAATAGCCCCGGTTTAGCCCCCATCTTTTCATCTATTTAGATAATTTTATTTTTTTATTTTTTTTCTATTGTTTGTTTTTATTATTTATATATCCTACATGTTAATGATTTGGCAACATTGTGTTACGCAGTCATGTTAATAAAGCTTAACTGAATTGAAATAGAGAGAGAGAGAGAGAGAGAGAGCGCGCGAGAGAGCTAGCGAGCTGTGCAGTGCAGTGCAGTGCAGTACAGTACTGTATATATAGGTTTCTCTGCTGTCCGTCTCTCTGCATTGCAGCCCAGCGCTGGCTGCTGGAAGTCAAACCCAAATGGCGACGTCCAGCCCCAGCAGTACCCCAGCAGCATCAGCCTCCAGCGCACAGCACCACCAGACCCAGAGCCAACACATCGGCACCATGAGCAGCATGCAAGGTCAGAAACCAGCCGAGCCGCGCACATCCATCCACCCTACAATGAGAGCCAATGACCGTTTACTCGCATCAGATGAGACTCAATCACGCTGCATTACTAGCCGTGTAGCTTTAGCTAAGCTATCGATCTCAATTTGCATTTACAAGAACTGCATTTCATGTTTTAAAGTAGTAACCTCTTTTTAGTTGCTTTATACTAGTAGTTTTAATTCTAATTTTAGCGTCCTGTTAGCCGCACGGCTAACTGCTTTAGTCAAACACCGACAGGCCCGTGAATATTTCATTTTCTCAACGTGATAATTACAGTTGACTACGTAACCCATGTATAGATTAATATTTTGTAAGTCCATATCGTTGTTAGTATTATATTAATTCGTTTACTGTCATTGTTCGTTTACTGACTGTCATTGGAGTTTGTTGACATTTTTAGCTGGATGGCTAACGTTAACTGGCTAACGATACGATGCTAAAATGAACTTCAGATAAATGCGAGCGTTTTTTGAGGAATTGAAGAGTCGTTTCTTAATAAATGGAAATATTAAGATGTTATTTGAATTATTTGTGGACCACAGAAATAAGAATGATTTCATAAAGAAAATTACACTGTTAAATGGTAAGATCACTGACAGCTTATCTATCATAAACCAGCGGTTCTCAATCTTTTAGATGCCACGGGCCCAAAATATGATCATCCTCACGTTATATAGTTTCTTGTGTAAAAACACAATTTATACTGTGAAATTTTTTTTTTTATATATATGTGTCTAAAATATTTATTTTCTATTAAGTTACATTATTTTGTGTTTTCCCCATATCGTAGCCTACTTTACTATCTAAAATGATTGTTTTTTTCTTTAATTTCTTGCTTTTCACTTGTTGTATTATTATTTTATTTATTCATTTGCTTATTTATTTTAATCAAATTGTATTAAATTTTTTCATCTAATTGTTATTTATTTATATACCCACTCATACATATTTTAATATAATTTGTATGTATTAATTTTAATTAGTTATTATTATTTATTATTATTATTATTATTATTGCATGTTTTACACTATTTCTCTCTAAACTTTTCCATGGGCCCACTAGCATCTTGTGGCCCCCAGTTTGAAAAACTTTTACATAAACTACTGCATAAATGTTTTTACAATTGTAATTTGGGTAGTTTTATGACTCCAATTGCCACGTCATATATTCATGATTGAATATGAATGATTGAATATGTCATTTAGAATAGATCATCTACCAAAACTTTGCATTTAAGGTAGAATGTGGGTTAGTTTAGGACATTAACCAGCGTGAATGTGGCATTTTGCTGTATTTAACATCAAACGTGGATCTGTGTGGAAAACAAACAGCTCTAATGAGTTAGTACTAATTTTAGCTTGAAATGTGACTCTTTGAATGGTTTATTTTGGACTTGGTGTGGTGGTTAAAGATATGGGCTGGTAACTGAAAGGTTGCAGGTTTGAACAAGGACACCAATGTGCATGAATTGTGTTTATCATAAAGTCATCACCAAGATCATTACAATTGTTGTTTTGTTTGACTTGATATTGAAGATGTTTCAGTTCCTCTATGAGATGCTGCCATAAACTGTAATCTGTTATGGGTTAGTTTTGCTCTAAAATTCGCTAGGCCAACTTCAGTTGCCTCTAAACTGGGTATTCTGTCCAAACTGATGCAGTTCATTTTGATTTTCAGACATCAGCTCATGCAGGAGGTTTCAGAGTGATTCAGGTAGTTACTGACTTTACATTGAACGGTTTGGACATGAACATTGTATAAATATATAGGTTTGTCTTAAGGAAATTAAGCCATCTTATTACATTGATGCAAACAATCTCATTACCCTAATATAAAAAAATATTTAAATGATGATTACAAATACTATCATTATGTAATTAATTAATAAATACACAATAGTGCAAGTTATTTATGACTAATTTATTTATAATCAAATTACTGTACAGTAATAAGAACTACAAGAGGTACAATTTCTTTTATCCTTATTTATTTGAGTTTTTATACATGGTAATAGTATTGCATCATATTCATTATAGCTTTGTGTTGCAAAACTTCCTTTATTGTCATAAAAATATTTTTCTAAGGTGTGAATAAGATTATTGGAGTATGTTTTTTAAGAGAAAATGCTATTTCTGTCTTTCTACTTTGAAATAATATGTTTCATTCAAATGTGTAACGTGTGAAGTTTGCTATCAATTTCTGAGTGAAAATTGTTTTAGATTTCCTTTTTTTTTTTTTCAGTGTATTTGTCCTGAAATAACCTAACATGAATCTTTTTCCAGGCTTTATTTTTGCATTCTGAAGTTCCCAAACTCCAGCTGGATGGATTCTTTTAAATCTATGTATTTAAGCAATGAAACTCAATATTTCCCCTCATGATATTTCTCTCCCTTTATCTCTCGCCTCTTCTTACCCACAATCCTCCCTGATGCCGGACCACGGTGAGACCCTGTGAAATTGTTTTCCCCAGAAACAACTGCTGTTTATATTCCCTCTCTGAACTGTTTCATGTTGATTTTCTCTCCTTCATTTCTCTCTTAGTCTGGTGTTTTCCTTTGTTTTATGTTCTGCTGGTTTCCGGTTGCTGTTGTGTGTGAACCTCCTCTGCATGTACACACATTTCCCATGATTACCGGTTCACTGATGCACATCCCGGCACAAAGGTTTGGTTTGAGTGAGCTTCAGATGCTCAGTGTGAGATCTGTCAGGTGGTTTTCTTGGATTTAAGGTTTTATTGAGACTTCATTGCTATGAAGAGCAGATTATGACAGAATTAGCATTGGACTACTTGAACAGATGCTGCAAATGAAGGTGTTTAAACCGTGTGTCCGTTGTTCTTCTCACCACCAGGGTTTCAGATAAACCTGTCTGGACTTCATCAAAGTAAGCCAACCCTTCTGTAGTGTGTCTGTTCGCTGGTTTCGGGGACCCTGTCCTCTGCCCGACACTAATCGGTTTCTGCTGGACTTGTGCCGGTCTTGGACAGATCGTTCTGCATGCTAGTGGCGGGTGGTCTGTCCTAGAGTCCTAGATCAACTTATGGCGCTTTTCCACTGCGTGGTACGACTCGGCTCGGCACGGCTCAGCACGGCATGGCTCGGCTCGGTTTGCGTTTCCACTGCAGTTCAGTACCGCTTTAGAGTGGGCGGGATTATTCACATGTCGTTATAGTTGCGCGGCCTCTACTGCCGCGACTCCTAAAAAACGTTTTCATTCCGCGTCGCCCCGTCAAGCTCTCGCTGGAGCCGCTCCTCTGCTATCAACGAAAGGAACGTCTGTACTTCCTCAACAGGGGGAACAGCCACTTTTTGGTTGTTAAAAAAAGGTGCGCTCGTTCAAAACAGTTGCGTTCTATCCTTCGCTGGCTGTGCCGATTTAAATCTAGCGGTTCTTTTGTGTTTGTGT